TATTTAGTATTACCTGTGTTTATGATGGTCATATCTGTTAAATCACTGCCAATCCCAATGTCATAAAGTTTTCTCCTAAGAGTTTTAAAGTTTAAGATTTCAAATTTACATTTTAATGCATTTTTATTGAATTCTTGTATCTGATATAAAAGAATCTAATGTTTCTTTTTTTGTGTGGGTATCCAGTTTTTCTAACACTGTTAGTTGAAAAGACCATCCTTTCCCCCATTGAATGATTTTTGTCACCTTTATCAAAAAGCATTTGACTACAGTTTCAAAAGTTTGTTTCTGGACTCTACAAAGGCTAGCTTTTGAATTTATGTGAGGATAAGGTGATAATAATGGCAGCAGGTGAATCAGATCAAGTTCCATACTTGGGTAACCATTTCAGGTGAATGGTGACATGGAATAGGTGAGGCTTTGTAGCAATTTTTCATCTATTGTGGGGGGATCTTGCAGATCTCTTGAAAGTGGTTCAATTTCATCTCAGCTGTGACCAACTGGATGGATTGTGGTGATGCTGAATGGTGCTGCAAGGTATTATGAGTGGATGCCCTGACATTGTGGCAGGAGGTGATGTATATGGTGTTATGGGCAACATTATTAAAAGTGACCTTGGACGCCAAGGAGTAGGAAATACAGAGCTTTTCTTGAGTACCTTTCTACATTTGTTGAATTTTCCCGGGTAGCACATGACCATATTTCTTCTTGGAGGGCCGTGAAAAGGTCTCAAAAATGAAGATACCAATGAATATAATGGGGTTGGCTACACTGTGGTGGTCACAGGCTGGTGCTTGCTTTATAAAAACAAACATTTAAGTAGGAGGTGTGTACCATATCTCAGATAAAAGGACATCCACCCTGAATTGTAGGCCTTTTAGAGCAGGACAAAGACATATTCATTTCACTATTGTCATGGCCAGAACAGTTGCTGGCACACAGTAGATATTTAATAAATGTCTATTGACTTTAATTGAACATAAACCAAGGAAACTGAAATGACTGTCTGAAATAAGAAAACTCAACTTTTCACAGTAACTGTTTCTTATAGCTAATCTAAACTATTTAGGAAGAATCTATTTCTTCTTCTTTACTCAAAAGAGACAAAGTCTTGATCACCATCTGTATTAGTCAGTGTTTACCAGAGAGACAGAACCAATACTAGACAGACAGGCAGACAGATAGAGGGACAGATAGACACACACTTACTTCCCCCACCTCTGCCTGCCACACACATGAGGATTTATTAGGGAGGTCAGGTATTATGGTACTAGGAGTGAGAATTTGCTTCTCCTCTGCCTTTTTGTTCTATTGGGCTCTCCATAAATACTGTCATAGACACACACAAAAAATAAGGCTTTTGCCAGCTCTCTAGGTATCCCTTCATCCAGTCAAGTTGAAACTTGAAATGAACCATCAGACCATGCTTTATAAAAACAAAACAAATCTATTTACAACATAAATTATCAGTTATTAAACACCAGTCATCTCTGGGATCATGCCTAGCACTTGTGCATTATATTTAGGCCTTGTTCTAGCCTTCAGGTAAGCATTATCTTTATTTTATTGTTGGGGACATTTTGGCTTGGAGATATTAAGTTTCCTGCTTAAAGTATATATCAGCAATAGTGAAATTAGGATTTATATCCAAAATGGGTCCTGTGTTTCTTTTCCTGAGAACTCTTTTTACCTGTTTCTACTTGAGATCCATCATTCTCATCTTCCAGCATGCTTTCCTTTTAGGGTAAACAAACACATTTTCTTCAGCCTTTAATCACAGCCCTTAAAAGCAAACTATTAATAATTTTTTTGTGTCTGGCCTTTCCCCAAGTTCTCCATGTTCCTTGAGTTTGGTATCAACCCAGCATTTAAAATATTGTTCAGTCATACACACACACACACACACACACACACACACACACACACACACCTCTGACTACAACAAAATAAAACCATCTTTCTTTCCATTTTGAGTCAGCATAGAAACTATTTTGCACATTCTCACATGCACAAAATATCAAAAATTTTAAAAAATGGAACAACTAAAAGGATCAATAGCTATTGGCAAAGTGCCAGGTGGTGAGGTATGGATTTTTAAAAAAATATGTATTTTTTTAGTTGTAGGTGGACACAATACTTTTTTTTAAAATTTTTATGTGGTGCTGAGGATGGAACCCAGTGCCTCACACATGCCAGGCAAGTGCTCTTCCAATGAGCCACAGCCCTAGCCCCTGAGGTATGGTTTTGCATACTTAATGATCATTGTGTGAAAAAAGACCCTAGGTACATGTACATATGGTACAGTGCTACACCGTATACAACCATAGAAATGTAAAGTTGTGCTGCAATTGTGTACAATGAGTCAAAAAGCATTCTGCTGTCATAAATACCTAATTTAAAAAAAAAGACAGCAGGGAAAAGCAACTTAACATTTGGATCAAACATTTTCTAGGTACAAGAGCCCAGATCCTGGCACTATAGATCCTGAGATAAAAAGAGATAACAGCTCTGGAGGCCAAGCAGGACAAGAACCATGATATAACAGATTTTTAGTCTAATCCCCATGACTTAGAGAAAATCAGTTCAAACTATGGGTGGGTTCTGGCCAGTGAATTCTGGTAAGCGCAGAAACTGAATAATTTTTATTTATTGAATCTAATAAAGATCTCAGGTTTGTATTTCATCTATCTTTACTTTTTTCTTGTTTATCCCTTTATTCTCCAAACCTAGAGGAGAGCCTGACTCTATGCTGATATTTACTGGCTGACTGGATGGTAATAAGGTGGCAAGATTGTCAGGGAGGGCAGAAAACAAGAATCAAAGTGGCAGGAACTAGAGTATACCTTTGTTTTTATTTTTATTTTCTGGTAATTCACTTTTACTGTGCTTTACACAAAGAATTGGTCTGAGACTGGAAATTAATCAAATGAAACAAAAAGCAACAACTGTCCTTCAACTCAGATAGTTTGAGAAACTGATATAGAGCCAGCTATTCATTTAGAGTCATGTGGAAATGGTGCAAGATAGAGTTGCTAGACCTCCTAGCCATTTATTTAGCAGCCTAGTAAAGATTTAAGTGTAGTAGGGTTCCCAGAATGAGTCACTGGTTATAACTTCGGAAATTCATTTTGTTTGCAGTTCCCAGTATTCTAATCATGCACTGTGTTGGCCTACACCCTGCAGATCCCATCCATCACTAAGGCAAATGTTTATAGGCTAGATGAGCTGCCGCAGGCTTGTAGGTAAATGCTGAAGAAAGTGACAGTGCATCTCTGAGCAGACTGTTCAGCAAGTAACAAAGGGACAAAATGAAGTCCACTCAACACTGCTCTAGCCTCAGTGTATGTGGGGTATGCTTTACTCAGCACTTAAAAGGTTTGAGTAATTCCCATGTCTGTTATTTCCTGCCATATGGAAGGGCAAAAACCGATCCAAGACTCCTGATCTCTGTATCTTTCCTTATTCCCTGGAAGGTTGGAGTGACTTACCTAGTAAGTCCATACAGAAGATGAATTTAGCTCTTCTTCACTCTTTTTAGTGGAGGAAAGTGCTCTAATGGTCTTCACTTGAGTCCCGTGGCTGTCTGGTTGTGGGTTCTGACTCTGGGGTTCAATATTAGGGAGGCAATTGTTTCAATACACCCTAAGAAGGGTTTTTTTTTTTTCTTCCAGTATCAGTGTCATTGGTAATTGATCTGCATTTTAATCTTCATCTGTTGACATATTATGTGTCTCTTCTTGGTTTAAAATTTGGGTAGGAAACAAAGAATATTTGGGGGGTGCCTCTCACAGACCTCACCAGAGCATGGTGATTTCACATGGTGGTCTTATCTAGTGGGCTATTTTAGTCTGTATTCTTTACTTGCCCCCTATTTATTTCCTAATAGAGGAACTGAAATTTTGAATCACTTGGTTACTCTATTATACCTGATTTCCCTTCTGCAAAGTAGGAGCCAGACTTTCCTCCTTCACTCTGGGGAAGGATCTGGCTGGGCCAAAGAGTCCTTCTTCCCACACCTCTCTGAGTATATTTCTCCTTGAGTTGTTGCCCCTATCTTTCCAGGTTTCTGGAGGGTCAATAAATTCATGTGACATTCTTGATGGAAAACAAACACAAAAATCCCAAGGGCTCTGGAATCAAAAGAAGAATCAGAGATCAGAGTTTGCTCTTCTAAAACATATCAAGACAAAATGCTTTACTAACAATTTTTCAGGCAGAACTATAGTTCAGGCAAGCAGAAAAGAGCTGTGTTTGGCCTTCCTGTTTTCATGGCTCAGTAAAGGCTTCCCCCCCGCCCCCAGCTCAGTGTTTAAGCATACAGTCTGGTTTGCTGAGACTTAGTTACAAGTCACTCTTGCTACAGTCTTCCTTAACCTTGCATTTCTCTTTGGGTCACTGGAACAGTATTTGGCTAAGCTGCCTGCAAACATTGCCTACTCTAAGTCTAGAATCCCACTTGCTTCTGCTGGTATCCTGTCTTACTGGTGACTAACTATACCTGAATGTGCTTCAGAGGAATGAATGGCCAACCCTGGATTCCCTGTCTCTCTACTGATACAATGTTTCTTCAAGTGGACCTTGTCTATGCCAAGAGCTCTGACTTTTACCTTTTTTTTTTTCTTTCTTGTTTCAAGCACATGGTATTCAATGGGGGACACAGAAGCACTTACAATTTTAATACACCCAGGGAAAGCAGTGACCCAGAACAAGGTTCTACCAGGTAACAGGGGAGAAGACCCAGGACAAAGTAATCTCCCATTGAGAGTCTTATTAAATACCAAGTGTTCATCATATATTACAACAGCGCTCCACCTCCTCACGTGACCCACAGTCACTACATACGACTGCTCACAACCGTCCTCCTTGCCAGAACAGGTCGACACAGCAGGCTCAGGGCATAGTCTTGCATTCCCAATACTTCCTACCATGGCAGCCTGCTAGTTGGACGGGCTCTGAGAGCCGAGCGGACAGTGGGCGGAGGTGGGTGGAGGAAGGTTAGGTTAGGTGCTGCTATCGTACAGAAAACTGTACCAGAGATATGCACCCAAAGTGACGACTGAGGCCACGCACATTTTGACCAGGAAGAGCTTCCAGCTGGTCAGCTCGAGTGCTGGCTCCTCTTTCTTCTTCCTGGACTGCTGCTTCTTAGCAGAGAGGGCCACCTGCCAGCGCAGGCTTCTGCCACGCTTCCGACTTCTAAATTCAGTGACTTGACTCATGCTGTCCATGCTGTGGGGGTGCCTCAAGGGTGTCTTAGTTTCCTCACTGATAGGGCCATCTTCATCCGCCTCAGCCCCATCCTTCACCCGCTGATGTTTTGAGAACTCCTTTCGTTTCTCATTGTGTGGCTCCAGGATTTCCCTGGGCCTCTGGAAAGGTGGGGGCACATGCCCGGGTAGGGGCTCCAGGTCCTCGTGGGACAGCTCCTTCCACTGTTCCTGCACTGAAGAGTCTCCCATGATGAACTTGGTACCTTCGATCATGACCAGGTAGAAGAAGCGCAGCTGTTCAGCTGTCTGGATCAGTCCCATCCGGAACTTCCTCATTTCCAGCAGCACTTTCTTGATATCCACGGAAGAAGGGTCTTTCCTTTTTTCCATCAGTAAGAAGCAGGTGTCAGCCAGGCAGAAGGTCCCCGACCTTCCAATGCCAGCACTGCAGTGCACCACTATGGGGCCAGGCTCTGGACTAAGTGACCCCGACTCGCGAACTTTGAAAAGAAAGTTCAGGAACGAGGCTGGTGATTCAGGGACTCCAAAGTCAGGCCACGTGGTATAGTGGAAATGTAAGATCTCTCGAGTTTCTTGATTCGCAAGGTTCTCTAGCTCCAACTGTCGCACTGTATAGTATGACTTGATGTCTTCAGAGATCAATGTTAATTTCAAATTTGTGTCCCCAAAGATCATCTCTGTTTTTTCTTTTGGTGGCCAATACTGGGCACATTTTAATAAGCCTCTCTCCATCAATCGGTTCAGCATGACCATGACCCTGCTTTTCTGCTCCCACACCATCTCCCAGAAGTGCCCACACGTATTAGGTAAAGGGCCCTGGGTGAGAATGTAACTCCTCTAGGCTTCTTCCATTTTTATCAAACTAGCATTGATATAGTCGTTATCCTCCTGCTGTAGCTTAATCTGACTGTGGTCAAAGGGACTGACATCTCGGTACCTGTTTCGGTTTCTGTTCTTAGGAAGGTTTGCCACTCTACAGGGGAAGTCACTGGCTTCACGTTCGATGTCCTGGTAAATGTCCTCCCAGCTCCCGGCCTTTTCGATCTGCTCAAACTCTTTCTCCATCTCCACAACTGGCCAGGGAGGCTCCTGCTCCGCCCACTGCCTGGCATCAGCTGCTCTAAGGTGCCTCGCGCTTTGAGCCCGAAGCCCGCCAACGCCACCGCCACCACCACCACCACCGCCTCCCTAGCCGCAGCTGTTACTTACCTTTTTGAATATGGTATTTCATTTGTCATATTACTGTACATTATAGATTAAGCCCTTCAAAACGACAATACTCACACCTGACAGTATCTCTGATTTGTCAGTGTTTCTATATCCAACTTATCATTCAACTTTCCTAGACCAAACATTTTTTTTTAATGTTAAAAAAGCATTAATGTAGGGCTGGGGTTGTGGCTCAGTGGTAGAGCGCTCATCTAGCGTGTGCAAGGCCCTGGGTTCAAGCCTCAGCACCACATAAAAATAGATGAATGAAGCAAAGATATTGTGTCCAACTACAACTAAAAAATAAACATTTTTTAAAAAGCATTATTGTATAAAAGTATAGGCTCTAGTCTGTGTCTTTGGAAAGTTACTGACCTTGTAACAAACTATGAGTAAATTCCCTAAAGTAGGATGAACCAAGAGTAATTTATATTCATATGTAAGCATAATTATAGTATACAGTTGCATAACTAGAATAAAGCAATTGTAAATATACCAGGAAGAAGGAAGTACATAAAACTTTAAAAACTTACATGAGGGGGCTGGGGATGTAGCTCAGTATAGAGTATTTACCTAGCATGCTCAAGGCCCTGGGTTTCATCCCCAGCATGACTTCCCCTCCAAGAAAAAGATCTCCCTTCAACCCTATGTGAAGTACAAAAATGTTGAACCATGTAAGAGCCAAGGCTTCATTACCTCCACAACCTTGGAGACCTAGAAATGTGAGGTAGCCTTAGCCAAATGGCTTCAGTATTACAGTGCCTCCTATTATAACACGCTAGGCAATTGGCAATGAAATTGGAGTAGAGGTAAACCCTGCAGGTGTTATGCAGCATGTCACATAGTAAGTGAAAAGCAGCAAAGAGGTAGTTCTTTATTCTTGAGAATTTTCTTGTACACATGATCAATGTCTGTGTGTACTTGGAAGAGAAACAATGCTACTAAAATGTCTTTTTCATGTTATGTACATGTCACAGTGAAACCTACTATTCTATATATTATTATGCACTAATAAAAAAAATAAAACCAAAATGTTTTGTAAAAATGTCTAAGTTATGGCCTTGGGATGTAGCTTAGTGGTGGAGTGCTTGTCTAGCATGCAGAAGGCATTGGGTTAGACCTCTAGCATGGCAAACAAACAAACAAACAAACAAAAAACAAAGCTATACTCCATAAATATGCACTATTACTATATTACTGTGTCAATTAGAAATAAATACATGTAAACAGACATTATTTTTTTTAAAAAGTCAAATGTAATAAAAAGCTTTGAGGAATGGGGGGAAAAATCTATGTTTGGAAAACATCAGCTTGCTTACCCAGGAAATCAACAGAACATAATTTTCATTTCAGCACAGGGCTGCTGGGCACCCAGCTCCCTTCTCTCTGGATAGCAAACAAATCCCTAAGTTGCTGCTGAGCCATACTTGAAAGGCCAGTCAGGAAATGAGCAGCACTCCCGAATGGGAAAGCCTGGATCAATGTTTTTTTCTAAAGTAAATAAAAGATCTGCAAAAGTATTTCCTTGCACTATTTGGCAAGAGAAAGAAGCACCTGGAGAGTGAGTTAGGAAGGCAAAGCACATAAGAAATGGAGTAAAACAAGGATGGTTATAATGAAGCTTTGTCTCACTAATCTCCAGAGCCCAAGTGTTCTAATAGGAAACAAAGCTGCAAATGAAGAGACACTCACAGAGACTGGTTGATTACGGATATATTCATGGAAAGGATGAGTAGATAAATACTTTTCTGGATCCTGAATTTTATCTTTCATTTGGATTCTTTCGAAAGAAATAACTTTAAAAACATCTTCTGGAAAGTCAAAATGGAATATATGTGTTAAAATAAATGAGGGCTGTGAGGAAGAAATACTAGCAATGAGAAAAAGCAATTATCCCTGGAGGCAGAAATTTCCTTCTTGCTTCAGTGCAGCATGTGATGCTGGCAATTTTAGCCATTTTCTTTCAGGTGATTTTCAGTTCCAAATACTGCTTGGGGGGCCACTATCTAGGCTGAATCTGAGGGAGCTGGGCACAAGCCTTAGGAGAAAGACAGGTTACTCTTGGGAGGCAGGAATTGAGAGAAATGAGGCAGTAATTGCATGATGTTGCTTGTGCTAAGCACATAGCATTAAAAAAAATAATAAAAAAATAAAAAACTCACTAATGTAATTGACTCAACAGTGGCTCATCGCTATTTTTTTTTTTTTTTTAGTTATAGATGGACATAATATTTATTTTTATGTGCCACTGAGGATAGAACCCAGTGCCTCACACGTACTGGGCTCTACTCTAAGCCACAACCCCAGCCCCACAATGGCTCATCGCTAATTTTAGGAAGTCATATAGTGTTAGTGCTTTTTCCCAATGAAAGGTGACTGCCCTTCCCCAATATTTTTGGGGAAAACAACAGATGATATATAATGATTAACTTAGGAAAAATTAATTTCTGCAATGAATTAGAAAGAGTCACAAAAAGGAGCAATGGATGGAAAACACGGCCAGAGAAGGTTGAGGTGGGAGGTTCAACTGAGCTCATTAGTTCAGGACTAGCCTGGGCAACCACACAGAGGGACCCTGTCTTAACAACAACAACAAAAAAAAAAAAAAAAAAAAAAAAAAGAGGAAAGGAAAGGAAAGATTGCCAAAGAACTTTTCTAAACATAACAAAATTCCTACCTTCCTTAACCAAACCTCAATAGCCCAAGTAGGAGTGATGATGCTTGGAGCTTTTTAGGAAGCAATCAATGGCTTATTTTATTTGGCAGGTAACATCTGATAGAAAATCATTCTTTTTTTCCTGGGGTTCCAGGCTCAACTTAGTGCCTACCTGCTGGAAAAAAATCAAAGTTAAAGACATAGATCACTGGGATGCCAAAGACACAGCTACCTGGACACTATTTGTGACTGCTTGAAGTCAATGTGCTCCTAAAGTATTGATTTTTCCCCCCTCTTTATGAAATGTTAACATGTATTTATTCATTCACCTGCCTCTGGCTGTTCCTTACTAAAGGTTAAGTGGTTGTGAAACCACAGGCACTGGAGAATCAAAGGCTGTTGTTTTAAGCTCTTAGCCAAGTAGTTGTGCCTTGTAGGTTGCCTTTCATGAGCTCTAGCGGCAGCTGAGGGTGGGTTGTCTTTGACCATCTGGAGTTTTTAATGTGTTCCATCCATCTCATGCCAACCCAATTTGCTAAGTTAGGATCACTGTGCTCTGAGACCCTTTGAGATCATGATGCTCAAGGGAGCTGTGTTCTGTGGCCTCCTGGGCCCCTCCTGCAGGTGCACTTGCTTTTTCGATTTGATGCTATTTTTCTTACTCTCTGTAGGAATTCACCACAGAACTATTATTACTTGCTTGTTACTGCATGTTGCTGATTCATACTCATAGGAAAAATTAATTTTGTCTTCAACACCTCTTCCCTGTCATTTAAGGCATATGTTAATGAAAGACAGATTTTGGCATCTACTCTCCTCTATAGCTCTGAGACCACAATACGGATTCATTATAAATGAAGATACAACTGTTATTTTACTTCTATTTATATTTATAACTACACCAAAGCCATCTTGCAGGTACCTTTGAGCCTCTCAAATCCCAGACCATATTCCAAGAAATGCTCAACATTTCATGCTTGAATTGGCATTAATGTGGCATTAATGTACATACAAGGTTTTAAATAAAGATGTTTTTACTCATGTTTTATTATTGACACTTCCTGATTTCACATATTTTAGATTACGATAGAGCTGAATCTCTTTGAAGACATTTTAATCGCTTTTCCTCCCTTATAGCACAGAATGGTTTTTTCCTTTAAGTGAGGAACAGGCAAGTGAGGAGTGCTCTGCTAGGAGGGATGCCAAACACAAGGCTGAAGCCTGAAGGGGGTGGGGCAAGAGCAGAAATGAGCCCAAGCTGAATGCTGAAAAGAACTGATTGAAAGCTTTTTGCTTTGTCATTCCTCTCTGTTCCTTTCTTTTCCAATTTTAACTGTGGACAAGGGCAGCCTACTTATTTCCTAGAATGACTGGATCTAGAATGAGCTATAACCTTGAAGACAGTCTGATCCAAACTCCTGCCCATTGCTACATAGCTCGTCACTTGATTCAGGAGCCCTCTCTTCTCCAGTACCTTTTCCAGCAGCACTTTTGCCCATCAATTAAAAGTGCAGGATGAAGGGGAGGTTTTGGAATCAGATAGTTCTGAGTCCACATTCTGGCTCTGACACTTAATAGCTCTGATTTCCTCAGCAAGTTACCTAACACCTCAAAGCCCCAGTCTCATCTGTTAAATGGCTATAATAAAAGCTAATTCATAGGAGCTTGAGGATTAAAGGAAGGACCGTGTACAGTGTATACAAAATTTAGCACTCACAGCTAAATGGAGAGTAGGTAAGTGGTTCAATAGGAACTAGGACCCATGCTTTCTGACTCCCAGGCAATACTTTTTTCCACAGCATGATACTGTTTCTCTCACACAATGTCTCATAAAACCTTTGAAAAAGTATCTGTTGAGTACTGTGTGTGCTGCCTTGTAGATTGTAAATGCTGTTATTACTAACAATACCTCACATATATATATTCAGTGCTCTAGAATTTAAAGTGTGCTTTCACAAGTGGGAAAATACCCACAACAACGTAGTCTACTGGTGACTAATAGAGGGGGGAAGGAGGAACAGAGGCTTTGAAAGAAGTCGATTAGCGATGCAAATGTGAAGTCATCTGCACTTGTGAGGAGCATAATAAACATTAGAACCAATTAAAAGTAACAATGTGTGATATATTCAGGCTTCAGAACTTTGATGAGATGGAAAGACAACCAGGATACTACATATGGAGTTTTGGGGCAAGAATTCAACTTACCTGAATCTAGATGGTTCAGATGGGTTTAAGTTTGGCCTACAGGAGGGCAGCTATTTGCATATGGGGAAATTTTTACATACAAACTAGAATACTGCAATGATTTAGAATTACATAATGGTAGAAACCCGGATGTGTTCACAATTTGGAGACAAAGCATATGGAACTGAAACAAGCAAAGCAAATAAGTTCTCAGAAGTCAATGTTAACTGGGTGTTTCAATGTAGACAAATGTGACATTCTGAATAGCAAAACTTGCAATAATAGAAACTGTTATCTTGACTTTCTCACAACCTTCTAAAGTAGTTCTTCATGTGAATTTTTACATTTGGACAATGCTCAAAAGTGAATTTTTAGAAATAGAGAGAAACGGAGGGTACATTTTAAATATATTTTATTGTTGCTGTGGTATTAGAGGATAAATACACCTTTTTCTGTTAAAAAGAATATGGTATTCCCTCAGAAGATGAATTTTTAGATCTCAGACTATGCATAAACCAATTGGTCCCCGCTTTATGGAGGTGAGGGGAAAATTAGAATTTCAAGTAGTTATCAAATATTTTAAGCTAATACCCAAGCAGATACATTTTTAACACTTTATGAATTTTCCATATGTATAAGCAAAATTCCAAATAGGCCTTGCCCTTTTCTTTTTCTGCCCAAATCTGAATTTTTGCCTGTCAGCAAACCCTGAGGAGGAGGTTGATGCAGGTAAGTTAGAAAAGAAAAAGACTAAGTGGACAAGCAGAAGACACCGGGAAAGGCCTGCTGTGCGGCCATGTGGAATAGGAGGTCTATGCTGGACAAAGCCCAAGACAGCCTGGTTTGTGTCTCACAGTCCAAATTTGGTTGATGTATTTTTGAAGCTTCTAAAGGTTAACTCACATGCTGTAATACATTATAGAAAGACACGAAGCTGAATTTTACTGTGCCAGTCAAGAGCCTGGCTTGAATCTGCTATTTAGAACTGAGAGAGACAGTACAATTTACATGTGTGAGAATGTGAGAATAATTTTACCTTCTGTTGTTTTTAAAACCACCTTGGGCCATGATTTTTAAATGGAGACAAGAGAAGATCTGCTGGGGTTCCCATAGCAACATTAACTTATCTAAACTGCCCTTGTTGTATGTAATACTTTCCTGACTAGTTTGGCTTTTAAATGTACACTTTAATTATGAAATATACGAGTTAAGAGTCTCAGGCAAATTTTTACTCTTACATTTACTGATGCATGCACATTTAAACAGAAATTGATAACTATACTTCTAAGGACTTCCCACCAAGGCAAGTTTATGCAAAAACTTTTCTGTGGTCTTCTTTGCTACTGATTTCTGACTCACTCCATTCCACTGTATAGACAACTCTTCAACAAATCTCTCTAACACTTTTATAAAACACTATAGCAAGTATGAAACAGAAATCAACTTCAGATGGCTCCAGTTGAAACTAGAAGTCAACACACTGATATTCTAGACTGTTTCCGAACTGACTCGTTCTTGCCCATCTTCTCTCTACTATTCCCCATCATTAACATTTCACACCAAAAGACTTGTCTTATTCTGAGGACAGAAAGTCCAAGGATTAGCCTGAAGCCCACCTCCTCCCAGAAGCCTGATTCTTTTTAAAACTATGACAAGTGTTACCACTACTAGGTGATATGTTGATGGTGACCGACCAACATCCATCCTCCTCTTTTTGATAACAGGGTTTTGATTTTCCTTTGAGGAAGTTTCTTCCACTCATACATTCTGGTGGTAAATCAATTAAGCTGCCCTGCCTCAGTTCAATAAGAGATGAACCCATGACCTAAGCTGGACCGATTCTACTCCTCTAGAAAACTGTATTTCAAATAATTTGAAAAGGAAAAACAGATGGAACTTAATTATTCCAATGATGGCCCTTTCAAGAAATTGCCCATTTCTTCCAGATGCTGGGACTCACAATCAAAGTTCACTAGCTAATGAGTTCTCCATGTGAGTATTTGTTCATATATTATCTTATATCATGATTTAGAGGTTTAGGATATGCACATTTTGCTTTGCCACCTAGATTCTACTTATACTCCCTGAAGACAGCGCTGGATCTTTATTGATTATATTATTTTACATAATTCAGCACAACATAAAGTACTCAGTGAATATTATGTAATGAAAGACCAATCTTAGAAACTCCATTTTTACAAAGTGAAGTTTGTAAACCAACATGTGTCCTTTGAGGCAGTGGAGTAAATAAATCTTTAATTGCTATAGGAATTTTCTTGGTTATGACAGTTGTCCTAAAGAGAGTCTACAACAACTTGTACATCTAAGAATAGCCTAAAAGTAATGTTAGCTTGGCCATACTTTCCCAATTTTAGAAAAGAAAGAGAAACTAAAATTGCACTTCAGACATAATAGTTTTTGAATCAAAAAACAAAAATACCAAACCAAACCGAACATACAAACAAAGAAAGCTTTGGGGGAAAAATAATAATATATCTTGATCTTGGGCTTGTAGCTTTCCCTATAAACATGACATACTACCTATCTGCCACGAGATGACAACGGAGGAGGGCTTGACTGGGAAAAATGCTTTACTAAGCCTATATATATAAATATAGAAGATGATTTTTCTGCTTCTTAAAAAATGGCAGGTTATGGTTTCTCAAAATCATCTGATTTATTTTAGTAATTTAATTGAATGTTTTAAAAACTCAGGGAAAAGCAAAATTGTTAGATGTAATAAACCCAAACAAGCTTGGGTATCAAGTTTTGAAAACACAGAAAGTGGTACACTCTTCCAAATTACTTAAATGTGCTTCAAATGCACGAAGAGCCCACCCATGATAAGACAGAAGGAAACAAATTCTCTTCTTCTTATTGTTTTTTGAGAAATGAAAGATTTGCAGGAGCCTTTGGATAGTGTAGTCTTCTGGCTTTGTACTTCATCATGGTACATAGTTCAGTCGTGAGAAAAGAATGAAAATATCAATTTGGAGTTATTCTGACTTGGGTGCAATGGTTTTTGGAATTTTCCTTGAACCCACACTCGGTGCATTTTCACTTGTTTTTTCCTATTAACTTGTAAGCGACGATCAACCAGATTTTGCTTTTCATCTAGCCCAGCCTTGCAGAACAAACGGTGGACTTCCCCTGTGAGACAAAAATGGCAAAGACAGGACATATGACTAAGGAGGAGGTAATGAACAATGGAATATTAGTGGAATGTTTGACATTCAAATTTCATTTATACCAAGAAACACTGTCCAATACAACTAGGTGAAGGAATCTGTGAAACCAAACAGGTTTCTTCTACCTTAGAAAAATATACCAAGCATAAACAGACTAACAAGCAGGCACAAATGGATACACAAAACTATTGGTTGCTGCTTTCAATATTTGAGAAGTGCCACCTTTCTGAGCTTTTTTGTTGGTTTACAGAGACCCTAAATGATACGTTTTAAGAGTACTTACATAAGTTTGGGGAAGTCTTTGAATGCAGGATTCATTTGGTACTGTCAGAAATGCTTTTTTAAAATGAGAAATTGACTAGAGGTAAGTAATTTTCTATAGACTTATAAAATTCCCTCTTTTGGCTGTGGAATATTATCAATTTTTCATATCCAGGCTAACAATATCTCCAAAATTACATATTGCACCTTTACTTGAGTTGAGAGTATAGCAGGTAATTCTTTAAAGTAGTTTTAACTGGAAGAAGATTAAAAGGCAAAAAGGCCATTTTCAAGTTTTTATGTAGATTACAAGCACCAAACTATGAAGCTATCCAATATTTAATCATGACTAAAGCCTCAAATTTATAGCTTTTGGGTTTCTCCATGCAAATAATACCCAAAAAGAGTTTTTCAAGATAATTATTTCCTCTTGTAGGTTAGCATACCTTTTGTAAAGAAATATGCTCTGGTACCATCTCCTCGAACATAAAAATTTTCAGATAAACAATGCCCTAAAAAAAAAAAAAGAAAGAAAAGAAACACTTGGTATTTCTTAAAAAACAAAAACCCCAAACCACCTGACATGAAATAGATAAACAGAACATTCTTTAAAACACATAAAAATAACCCCAAACTGAATATATCATTACCCTTTTTAAAACGAAGCTGGGTATTATCGTATCTCCCATAGTCTCGAAATAACAGCATTCCCCCAGGCTTCAGTAACTTCGACAGCCGGTTCACAACACCTTGCATCCTTTGAAAACAAAGCAAGATACCCTGTTTGTGGAAATCTTCTGCCAGATTTAACCTTCTTAAAAACAAAGTCAGAGAAGCTCAATAATGCCAAAGAAATTTAAATCATCAGTGTAAAGGCAACAAAAACAAACATATTGTGTAAAGAAGGAATTAAAAAAAAAAAAAAAAGAGCCAGGTGTGGTGACACATGCCTAGGGGATCAGGAGGACTCCCAAGTTCAAAGCCAGCCTCAGTATTGGTGAGGCACTAAGTAACTCAGTGATACCCTGTCTCTAAATGAAATATAAAATAGGATTGGAGATGTGTGCTCAGTGGTTGAGTGTCCCTGAGTTCAATCCCTGGTACCCTTCACCTCCCCCAAAAAAGCCACTGACTTGCTAAATGACCAGATTCAAAAGCCCTACAGTTTCAAGAAATCACCCAAATGATCCTTCATACAGTTTGATATATGATGCCGAAAGCTGAACTGCAAAACCATTAGATGTCTCTTAATATATAAGCAAAGCAAGGTTGTTCTGAGGGAGACAAAAAGTGAAGATACTTCATTTTCCTTGCAAAATAAAAACAACGCCAGTCATTTCAAATTGTACATTATCCAGACAGGGATTATCTTTCCCCCAAATGAGTACATTCTTTTGATTAATTTTTTGTTCACAGGTACTCTCATTCACTTCATGAAGGAGAGGTAATTTTTCTCTTCTTCTATCCTATCTATGTGGGCATTAAATTCTACATCCTCTCTCTTGTGCTTTTTCTTTTTTTAATGACATCTTTGTTGTTTTCTCTATTTTTTCCCCCATTGGAACTCCCTTAGTACAGACCCCTCACTTCCTAACATGCTTTTTATTCTCCCATCAATTCTTTCTGCACATTATCAGTGAATTATTCTGCTTAAAATGGTGGTTTTGACAATCAATCTCCTTGTTTACAAATTTTTGTAATTTTTAACCCATAGGGCAAATTTTTATTTCTTAGCAGAGTTCTTAAGATCTCTTACTAATGACCCCAATGAATCCCTCCAACATCCTTTCTACTATTCCCAATCTGAAGCCCCTCCTCTAGCCACACTGTTACATGCTTGGTTCTGAGCACCTATTCCTTATTGAAACTATTGCTTATATGGTTTTCTCTAAAAAAAAAAAAAAAATCTCTTCTCCTTAATCCCTGCCTATTTAAATTTTATTCACACCTCAATTCCTACCTCAATACTGGAAAGCCTTATGCTTTCTTCCTTTTATTCTACTCCTATGACTTGCAGTCAAATATGACTCCTTATAATTGCTTAACTTTGTGTTTGGGGTTACTTGTTCATGGTGCATGTGTTGTTATGCGCCAGGGATGGCAGATTCAGATCTCATGTCAATATTGAGTGAGTGGCATTAGTTGCCTATGGAGTTCTGTTCAGGACTCACAGAGCCCACTGGGAATGACAATCAAAGTACAAAACTGATTATCAATGTCTGCCATGGGCAGAGAATGGTAAATGGCAGCCTGTGTTGTCCTTGTCGTCTCTGCTTTATCCAAGCTACTTAAAGCTGCTGACGTTTTCTACTTTGAAAACGAGGAGTTTAGATTTGTTAATATGTAAATTACTTCCAATTACTTTAATATGTAAATTAAAACACTGTTCAGTGGAAAAGAGGGGTGTAAGCCATATTATATCATGTTATGAAGGAAGTAGATGATGAGAAAATGAAAGCTACTATGAAAACAAGAAAAATATGACAGAGATTGTAGATTAGGTGAAAAGTCCTTTTAAAAAATGGGAACGTAAGTACACGAAATGGAAAAAGAAATATATTTTTTCCTTGTTTATTATAAATCATTTTCATATTGTGCTTATATCCTTGGGCTTTGTCAATGAAAGAAAACCATACCTAACCCTTAAAATATTCACTTTCAGGATAAATGTTTTATGTATATAGCAAAAGTTCTGTAATTGTTAGTAAAACAAAGATGAAACTAAAATGCAAAAAAATAAAAACCATGGACTTCAAAATACACAGCCAGCTCCGTCTGCACATCCTTTCCTCCAACTATCCTCTAATGTCTGGGCTTGTGGATAAAGGTAAGGAGCAGGGCGCTGTTCTTCTTGAGCATCCTGGTTTTGGGTCAGACTGCAGTTCCAGAGCTGCTTCCTGAGAACTGCAGATGGGACCAGGCTGGGGAAGAGGTAAACAAGACAAAAATGGGACAAAGCCCCTTTTCTTTCTTTTTCCTGCTTGGGCTGACTCTGCTATCTTCTCCTCTGCTGGAGGGAGATGATAAGAGGGAAGGATGGGACAGGACGAGGAAAAGAAGAGATTTAAAACATGAGTATTTGTAGACTATCTACTCTATGCTTGGATCTACAGGAAGTATCTTATACTTTCATTTCAATAACCAGGACAACTAGCTTTTTTCCCCCCCTGTAGCATCCTACATTTTTTTTTTTTTCATTTCAGCTGGAACCTACAGACTCAGGGTCTAGCTGAACTGCTGGCTATTTATTTGTGTCTGGATTTTCCAAGCTGCCAAGCTACTCTTCTAGAACTTTCCTAGGGGCAAATTCATGATTATGATCCTAAATGATTCTAAAGATACTGCCTTGCCTTTTCACTTACCATTGTCCCCCTTTTAATAAATTTACTTTGATTTGATTTGATTTATTTTGAGACACAGTCTTACTATGTTGCCAAGGCTATTCTTGAATTCCTGGATCAAGTATTTCTTCCACCTCAGCCTCCCACATAACTGGGACTACAGGTATGTGCCATCACACTCAGCTCATCCACTTAATTTTTAGATCATTTCCATGTAGGTTAGAAAGTGGTACTGACATGATATATCTGAATTTATTTTCTTAAAAAAACAAAATGAAATACTGTACTATAAAAACAATCATTCCTAAGACATCTACTTCCCCTTTTCTTTAACATTCAATTCAAATAATGAGAAAATACATGATCTAAACTAATTTCAAATAGTTTTTATGTAGTCTTATTTTGAATTTATACATTTCCTGTTATGGGTACCAAATAGGAAATATTATTTTTTACCCACCTACACCAACCTTTTAACTATTCATATAAAGAAACAAAAAACATAGATGACATTTTCTACTAGTTCCTGAACAATGCCAATAGATTAACAGATTAGCAGAAATGAAATAGGGTATAGAAGCTGAGGAAAAGTTAGCTTCATGGAACCAGGTACATATATCAGGTAGAATCTTCTTTCAGATTTATTTGGAAATCTAATTCTTATTCCAAAATAATCAAAGTGCTTATCTCTGGAAAGTAAAACAACTTTAAAGCATCCTAGTGATCTCATAATTGCAAAGAAAGAAGCACGCAGTAACTCAGATTCTTCGGGAGAGGGTCACAGTCATCAAACATAAAGTGCTTGATCTGGTGATCTGGGCCTGTATCTCTTACCAGGATACTGCAAAAAAAACAGTTTTAAGAAACCTTATAAAAGAACAAGTCCTGCCACCTGTCACACATATGCTTTAATACACAGAAGGTGGCACAATTTTAAAAGAGGTGATCATTATAATTGGTAGTAATATTCTCTTTATGTTTCCAGAGAAAAGCTGCATTTACAGCTTTAAAATATTGTGCAAACATAAAAATCTCAGTCATAAATATTTAGGGGGCTGGGGATATAGCTCAGTGGTAGAGTGCTTGCCCAGCATGCACAAGGCCCTGGGTTCGATCCCTAGCACTGTGGAAAAAACAAACAAAAACAAAACAACTTTATCTATATTTATATATGCAGATATAGTTGAATAATGGCACTGGGCCCACCTTAAATCATAAAGGTCTACGGATAATCCAACAAATTGCTATGACCTCTAATTTCTTAGTGGGCTTCTTTAACAAAAGTTCAAAAGCCCATCAACAGACCTGTGTTAAGCCAAACAGATCCACAGCCCACCTCTTCACGAACATTTAGGGAGATGCTAAATCAAAGATGTTTGTTTCTGATCACCAAGTACAATTTCCCTCTTGGGAGTCTATTAGGCTGTTCTGAATTTGTAATTTCCTTGAAGCACTGTCACTTTTAATAGGTATGTGTCTTGCCAGAATATGTTCACTTCATTCTGACAGTGACAGAAAGCTCGCTAATGAAGTAGTTTGACCAGTTTCTTTCTTAAAGTCTGAAAAAAGAAAAAACTGCATTTAAAAGGCTGCATATTATACATAATGTAGTTCACTAAATGATAAACTCAAGAATTGTCATTTTTGCTTTGATAGTTTCAAAAACCACTAGTGATAAAGAAGCTTTACACATTTGCTTTGCCCTTTCGTCTTCATTTACCTGTCAGGATGAATAGAAGAGAGCACAAAGACAAGGAGAATGACATCCAGGATCCCATCTGGAAAAGGGTAGGGTAAGCCATCATTGCACACATCATGAACAAAGGCAGAACACTGGGCTGCTCTGTAGGATGAGTGTGACTGTCATGATAAAGGAATAAAAAGAAAAAGAAAAAAAAAAGGAGTTAGCTGATTTTTAAAAAATAAAAAGGTCAAATTTTTACTTTTTCTCCCAAGAGTCTTCTCTCTGTAAATATGAATACACTTTATTGCCAGTTCATTTTTCTATTAGCTTAGTTCAGGCTGACCTAAAAAAATTAAGTCTAGTACCTAGATCTAATAACAAATATTTTTCGTAATCCCTCTTTGAATTTAGGAGTAGGGCAGGTCTTATGAGTCAGTAGGCAGTTGTTAGAGGACTAGCCTGTATTGTTTAGAGGCACTAAGATATTCCTCAACTCTCCTACTGCTTTTTCCATCTCTTTTGGCTTAAAATACAAATATCCTATAGCACATAATCAAAATTAGATAATGGTAATGGTTGCACATTTCTAAATACACTAAAAACCATTGAATTGTATACTTCAAAATGGGATAGTATGTGAACTATATTTCAATAAAGCTATAATTAAAAAAAACTGCATTAGTCACACACACACACACACACACACACACACACACACACAATTTGTCTACAGAAATATCACCAGAAGTAAATACATGAACACATCATGTTGATTCACCCTAGGAAGTGTGATTACTGGTGTATTTATTTCTTTTCCATTAGGCGTTTGTTTTTTTTTTAAGATTTTTTTAAAGATGGACACAATATCTTATCTTTAGTTTTATGTGTTGCTGAGGATCGAACCCAGTGTCTCACATAACCCCAGCCCCTGTTTTTTATTTTTTTACTATGGAAAATGTTTGCAATGAATAAGAATTACTCTTATTATCAGAAATCTAATTTTTACTTAATTTTCTTTTTTTCTGCAGTACTGAGGATTGAACCCAGGACCTCATGCTTGCTAGGCAAGTGGTGTGCCACCTAGCTACAATATTTAATTTTTTGAGACAAGGTTGCTTAAGCTAGCTTCAAATTTGTGACTCTCCTGTCTGAGCATCCAGAGTAGCTAGGATTATATGTGCCACTGCACTTGGCTTTTACTTACTTTTTTTTTTTTATTGGTTGTTCAAAACATTACAAAGCTCTTGACATATCATATTTCATACATTAGATTCAAGTTGGTTATGAACTCCCAATTTTACCCCAAATACAGATTGCAGAATCACATCGGTTATACATACATCCACATTTTTACATAATGCCCTATTAGTAACTGTTGTATTCTGCTACCTTTCCTATCCTCTACTATCCCCCCTCCTCTCCCCTCCCATCTTCTCTCTCTACCCCATCTACTGTAATTCATTTCTCTCCTTGTTTATTTTCCCATTCCCCTCTTATATGTAATTTTGTATAACAATGAGGGTCTCCCTCCATTACCATGCAATTTCCCTTTTCTCTCCCTTTCCCTCCCACCTCATGTATCTGTTTAATGTTAATCTTTTCTTCCTGCTCTTCCTCCCTGCTCTGTTCTTAGTTGCTCTCATTATATCAAAGAAGACATTTGGTATTTGTTTTTTAGGGATTGGCTAGCTTCACTAAGCATAATCTGCTCTAGTGCCATCCATTTCCCTGCAAATTCCATGATTTTGTCATTTTTTAGTGCTGAAAGTTTTACTCAACTATGTGTTTATTGTACATTTTTGTTAGTAAAATTTCCTTTCCTTTTTGTTAAAATTGTCTCTTCATTCTAAGGTAGTGCTCACTACCATTCAGGGATTTGTGCAATAATCTTAGGTTTTCCACTGTTTTTCTTATAGTCTAGGACAGTCTGGATTTGCATTAAATGCCTTCTCAGATATTTTTCTGAAGTTTTAATTCAATGAATGTCTACTGTGCCAGACTATGTGGAGGCTTTAGAGACAGATATGAATAAGATTTAACAGAAAATTTCAATTTTGGGGGTGGGAACTTGTTTACCCATATGAGAATTTTAACTAATTTTAACTGATCTCCTTTGAACTTAAACAAGTTGTTTGGAGTACAGTCACACTCATAGACATGAATTTTGTAGGTCACTACCATTTTGGTCATCTCTGTGTGCTGTTGGCTTTTCTAGGTCTACCAGTTAAATCTATCTTAAATTTAAGACAAGTTTGGGGCTGGGATTGTGGCTCAATGGTAGAGCGCTTGCCTAGCATGTGTGAGGCCCTGGGTTCAATCCTCAGCATCACATAAAAGAAATAATAAATTTTAAAAAAAGTTATTAAAAAATTTAAGACAAGTTCTATTGCTTTAGGATAATTAATATCTTAGGCAGTCGATGACATGATTCTCAGAAGTCATAAAAATTCAGTTAAAATGGTTACAGATAATATTTGATTTAGAAACATTTCAAAAGAATTCCTCAAAAGCAAATAAATTTGACCTTATTAAATGGACTCCTTAAAGAAAATATAAAGTGTACCTTTACAAGCTCTACAGCTCCAGAGGCAAAATCACAACAATAAAGAAAGGATTCTGGGGTGTTCCTATGAAAAAGGAAGAAGTATTTAAATCTAGAGTCCAAACATGGTCAGGCTAGAAGAAAGCAAACTATAGATTTGATGTATTGGTAACTACTTCTTTAATAGAATTTTGGATGACACTTGGCTTGTCATTTCTCCTTTTTGAATATCACTTCCTGTACTGATTGAGACTTATTAATTATAGGGTAACTTTCAAGCTCCTGTTCCAGTTTTAAGGCCCCCCATTAGTTGGGCCTATTTGCTTTATAAAAAATCTTAACTCATTTCAATTGTCTTCTTTTGGATCTAAATACATTTTGTTTGACTTTAATTTTAAATATAGTAGCAATGACTGGTTAATCATGGGCAGGAATGTACTAGGAAGTTTGTGGGCCAGTACCCTTCCTGATCAGCCTCTGCAGGCTAGTATCAAATAATTCTTGAGTCATGTTATACAGAAACATGTCTGAATCACAGAAAGAGGTCACCATGTCTTTAAAGAGTAATTTTAAGTATGGTCCTGGCAGTCATCATACTCCCACATGGGAAATCTCCAAGGCCAACATCCAACATTGCTCCACCTTCCTCCTTTTTCCCCCCAGCATGTACTGTAGTTCCTTAGCTTGGCCAGTCCTACCCTTTTCCAAGGACTCCCAGACTCTTCCTTCATTCCTCTTCCTTTCTGTATTACTCATTTGTCTCTTGGGCTTCTCACAGAAGCTCGAATGGGCAGAAACACATATGCACATTTATTTTATTTTAGTCAGGGCCTCACTATGTTGCCTATGTTGGCCTTGAAACCTGGGCTCAAGCGATCCTCTTTAGCCTCCCAAGGAGCTGGTACTACAGGAATGTGCCATTGCACTGACCCACATACTTTTTTAATAGCATATATATACATATATATATATATATATATATAAACTTTTAAAAAAGAATAAAATGCTAACATAGTAATTCTTAGTTGTGTTTCTAAGTTATTGCCAAACATTTATTGAGCATCATATATGTACCAAGCATTAGAATACAAAGTAATAAATAAAATTGTCCAATACAATTGTAAGAGTATGGTTCTTGGAGCCAAATAGACCTATGTTGAAATCCTAGATTTGATAATTATTAACTCTGTGAGTTTGATCCACGACTTAGTTGCAACTGTTTATAATATATAAATAAATTCCATTTTTTTTTGCAGGGGAATGTTTATCTGTATAAAAATCTTAACTAATTTTAACTGGTTTCTTCAGAACCTAAATACATTCTGTTTGGCCTTACTTTGAAATATAGTAACAATGGCTGGTTAATCATGGGTAGGAATGGACTGTGGATTTTGTGGGCCAGTACCCTTCCTGATCATTGTCTGCAGGCTGGTATCAAATAGTTCTTGAGTCATGTTGTACAGAACCATGTCTGAATCACAGAAAGAGGTCACCATATCATTCAACAATAATTTTAAGTATGGTCCTGGCTCTTGTGCACTTGATGGTCTAGCTGGGATATGCAGAGAGGGCCAGCACCATAAGTCTTAAAAGTTCTGAAGGGGGATGATAGCATTGCTAAGTAAGGAGAAGAAGCAATGGTATGACAGTTTAGAGGTGGAAATCACATGTCAGGAATTAGAAGCAGAGCTGATCCTGGAGAGCCCAAGCTGGTATGTGGCAAGACATAAAGGCAGGCCTGGAAGCACAAAATTAGAACCTCTAATTTGATTCAAGAGGCAATTCATAAGCACAAATATGAATTTAGCAAAATCTCACCCAGGCTCAGATTATACTCTTAAATGCTACTCACTGATGAATACTATGTTCACATATAATTCATTTATTCTGTGGCACTAGGAATTTGCATTCAATTTAAAATCTGTCTAAGTTGAAGTATAATAAATAAGACTTGGTTTTGAAAAGTTAACTGGTACTGAACCAAACGTAAATCCTGAACTGCTTGATATTTTTTCATCCATCTCATCAATATACTTCATTCCACCATTTACCCCTGTTGCTTCCTGTGAAATACATATAAATGTGATTTGTAATTTTCTAGGTGGTCACATGTGTTTGAAATGGTCTCAATTACCACTCAGATGCAAATTGCACATGTGGTATAATGGCTAAGGATGAGGATTATGGAACCAGACAGCTAAAGGTTTGAGTCTTGATTCTACCATTTAATTGTGTGACCAAGGGATAGTTAGTGACTTAAGGGATAATTGTATGACTGAGGATGTGACTTAAATTTGCAGTAGCTCTGTCCCCTCATCTTTAAAAGAGAGATAAATATGTCATCTAAAGTGGTTATGAGGACTGAATGAACTCACATAGTAAAGCTTCTGGAAAGGTACCTGACTCAGAGTAAGCACCCAGTAAATGTTAGTCATTATTATATTGTTGTTGCTAATATTACTACTTCCACTATTATTAAAGGATATCTGCCTTGGCCTTTCAGGAACTAAAAAACTAACATGGTCCTCTAAAAACTTCAAAATAACTAAAAATGCTTTTTTGAACCCTGGTTTACTTAGCTTATTAATAAAAGTTCTGCAATCTACCTTTGAATATTTACTGAATACCCACAAGATATAGAACAGTCTAGGAACTAAAAGAAAGCATGTGCCACTTGCACATATCCTACCAGGACGGCAGCATGACCTCTGAGACAGAATTCCCACTACATCAGCAGCCCAAGTTGAAGTCTTGTGACCACTCAATGACTTTCTGTAAAATCAGTTGACTGCCCTGGCCCTTATCCAAGCAAGCAGGTGCAAATATCACTACTACTACCACACCACCAAGCATTCTCTTGGCAGGGGGTTTAAGAATCAAATGATCCTTGGAGAATGACCTAACCTCCAATTCCAGAGGTCTAATTATGGTAAGGTATTCTGAAAGGGTAAAATATTAATCCTATACTCTCCAAAAGTGACGAATATAATTTCTTAGTTGATTTGGGGGGATGACTAAGCCCATCTTTTGGAAAACTAGTCACTGGTTGTCTTTTAAAGATGAATGAATTATCTCAAGTTATTGAGCTACCATGATTTCTAAAACATATGAAGAAAGAAAGACACAGCCAAGAAGCAAAGAGTCAGAAGTGAGGGGAAAAGAACTTGTAATTATTAGCTGGAGGGAGAAGTACAGAGGGAAAAATGCAACTAACAAGTAGGGAATCATTACAACTAACACATGGGGAATTGGAGATTGAGCAGTCGATACACACTGAGCTCTATATTGTACTATGGGACAACCTGGAAAATCATATTGGGACAAAATATGCTCTTTACCCCAAGATATATAAAAAGAGTAGCTGGAGAGATAAGGAATAAAGAAATGAGATGACAAATAATACCTTGAGAACAGCCATAAAATAAAATGCAATCTAATTGCCAATAAAGTGTATTTAAGTGTATTAAAAGTTCAGATATTATTGGGGTGAAGGAACCTGGCAATGTTTCAGCCCCGAAACTGGAAAATTGAAAACAGAATAGGAAAAAAAAAAGGTAAAAAAATTCCCCCCCCCCCCAAAAAAAAGAAAGGGCATTCAAAACTGTAAATTTACCAGATTCACCTGTGCCTGGCCACTTTAACTAGTCATGAATTAGATAATACTAGGGAATTACTATTCATTATGTTTGGTTTATAGAAGTGTTGGAGAATGCTCTGATTTTTTTGGTGACACACCTGAATAATCAACATAAAGTGTCATGATGTTGGCATTATGTTAACAATTATTGAACGAGGCAGTGGGTTTATGGAAATTCCCGGTCCTTGTCTTTGATTTTCCAGTGCTTTTACATTTTCATAATAGAAAGTTTAAACGATCACATTGTTAAATTAAAAATTATGCACAATAAATGAAAATTCTATCAGTGGTTATGTTAGGATGATGGGTGATTTCCATCCCCTTTCCTCTAATGGAAATGTACTTATGGCTGGTTTTATAGAGAAAAAATTATGTGAAAACTATTGTATAAACTTTGAAAAAAACAAAAACAACTTGACAAAGCAGCATAGTAAAAGATGTATGGCGAGTTTTATAAGGTATATATTCTTCTTTATGGAAATACTAACACACAGAGGTGAGATGGTGAACAAGGGGGAAGGTAAGGAGAATATCACTGTCTCCATCAGCTGCTCTTCTTTTTTAAGATTTATGATTAGTTGCTTCCACTTCCAAACAATCTCAAGCCTAGACACAATGATCTGATGTGCAAAAGTCTTATATAGGGTGTTGCTTCAGAAAATACAACAAAATAAAATGAGGACTAAGGTGTAAACTTTAAACTCAATTTTCTATGTGTAAAATGATATCTAAGTATCCAGGAGGAACAAGCTATCTCTGAAGTTGAACAATTCATAACTTAGTTAAAAACACACACACACACACACACACACACAAAAAAAAAAAAAAAAAAGAAAGAAAAAAAACTCTTGCTCTTTTCTTGTCTTCTTATCCTCATAAACGCAGGCTTCAAACACATGGTGGACAACCCGTGTCTGTGAAATACCATTTTCAGAGTAATTCCAACTTCATGTAAATTATTCACTGAGATTTTTTTTGGAAGATGTTTTAGTTATTGTTTATGTGGGAATTAAGAACACCACTGGCATATACATGACAACATTTTTTCAAAATTTCTCAACATCTCATAAATATGCAAACTTCTGTAGGAGAAAACTCTAAATAAAACTCACTGCAAGGTGTTCAGTATTGGAAAAACACTATTTCCAGCACCACAGCCAACCTAAAATGAAGAGAATAAACAAATACCATGAATGCATTACATTTTCCTCACAATGTCAGATTTTCTGTTTTTTAAAAACAAGAAGTTTACTAGATCTCTGGGTATGGTAGGGCTTTCTATATTCAAAAACAATGAAATAAATCACAAGAATAACACTGAAAATTTGACTATGAAAATATTTTAAATTTGTATACACCAAACCCCTAAATAAACCACATTAAAACTTTTGCAATAAAAATGATAAAGGCTAGGGCTAATTAAACCTATACCCAAAGACATTCTGCTACAGAAAACAATTTAAATGTCCAGTAGTATAGAAATAGATATGTAAAAATTATAGTTTTCCACATAGTAAAATAATTTGCATTGAGGAAAATGTTTACAGAGAACTTTTAAAGATAGGTAAAACTGCTTATGTTAAACAAAAACAAAGCAGAACCCCAAAATGTGTGTACAATATAAGCAAAAGGAGAAAAAAATCAATAAAATTTTAACAGTGTTTAAATCCTTTGGGGACTATAGATAACTTTATTTCTCTTATCTGCTTTTTAGCAAATTCTCTGTAATCAACATATATTACCCTTTTAATCAGAAAGACAGGTCTTAGTTTTAAAAAATAGAAAACAAAGGTCTACACTAGATAGAGCATATTACATATTTCACTTATTTCTATTTCACCTAAAGAGGTAACAACAGAGAGAGTAAATATGAAGACCAAAATGTTATAAATAGGTAAAACTGCTCTCACGGTAGAAATGAAAACAGTCAAATTTTTTTAAAAAGGGGGTAATAGAAATGAAACTGAAAGTTACAAAAAAATTTGACTGATTAAAGATGTGAGTCCCTTAAGTATTATTTATGCATAAAAGTACACTGAGCACTTAGATTTGATCATTTTCCACCTAAAACATCTGGAACATTAATAAAACATGCATTTGAAAATGTTGTCACTTCCCATTATTGTCCCTTAAGTATAGTACCTCTAGTATTCTGAAATTGGCCCTGCTACCAGGAAACAATTCAGTCTTCAGGGGTCCTTTTCCAAGTTTTTTAGGGTCTAGGTTGGAAAAATCAAATCCTGCTTTGCTTGGGCCATCTGATGAGCCAGAACTTTTCTTAAAATGTTTTTTTTCTTCTTGTATTCTTGAGAAACAATTTGTGGCATTAGGTTTTATATGATCCCATGATGATTCTCTTGCATTCTCTTTAGTTTTTAGATCAATTGGAAGAATTTCAGGAAATTCCCTTAATAGCCAATTACGATTCTTGAAAAACTTATTCTTATGAATCTTGTAAAATACATCCCAGTATTTACTAGCTTCACTTTCATACTTATCTAAAAGAGAGGAAAAAAGAAAGTTATTTAACTATGAATCATATTTACTGTTAGCTACTGCTTTGGTGACTATTTTTAATAAATATTGTTAAAAATATACATTGTCAATAATTACATTTATGATTGAATATCTTTAGTCTTATAATAATTTTATTTATCTGATAAAAAGTTAAAATTAGAGGTTTGCTTACTTCTCTTCAAATTATCAATAAGTGAATTATTTAGTTCTACCCCCATAATTCTGCTTTTATCTTTAACAGTATGGCCATTTTTTATGAGGAGTATAATCATTGAGAATTACTTTCTATAGTCTAATATTGGAATCTTAACAATCACATATTTTACTAATAATCTTTGTGGATTTTTATTATCTTACAGAAAGGATACCTTGTTTTATAAGTTTCCATTTGACAAATGTGAAAATTCATGATCAAAACAGAAATTGCATAATTCAAATGATAAATCAGGTATGGTAGTACATGCTTGTAATCCCTGCAACTGGGGAGGCTGAGGCAAGAGGATGGCAAATTCAAGGCCAGCCTCTGCAACTTTCAAGGCCCTAAGCAACCTAGCAAGACCCTCTCTCAAAATAAAAAAAAAATACAAAGGGGCCATGGGGCCAGGGTTAGGTCAAATGTCTCAAAGCTTCAGGCAATTCTTAGCCTCCTGATTCTTCCAATATGTACCTTACATTAAAATTTACTCCCAATCTTATTCATCCAACAAACATTTCTTGACTCCTATGAGATAACAGACTAATCCCCAGGCTTAATCCATGAATTAAGAATTATTTTCAGGGTAGCTCAGTGGCAGAGCACTTGCCTAGTATGTGTGGGGCACTGAGTTCGATCCTCAGCACCACATTAAAAAAATAAATAAATAAACAAAATAAAGGCATTCTGTCCATACACAACTACAAAAAATAAAAAAAAAATTAAAAAAATAATTGCTTTTACCCAATATAGACACATAACATTTTAAAAGTGGATGCAGATGATACAAAAGCTTTTTAATGGATATGGAGTATTTCCAAGATTTAGTTTTGGTGGGGAAAAGCAAGTTGTAAAATATCATATATATTATGCAACCATTCATTAAAGAAAGAGAGGGGGGGGGCAAAGGAGGAGGAAAAATAAATGTGCGTGTACACACAGAACCATTCATGTGTGTGTATATACACACTTACTTGTATAGGTACCAAATACCTCTGGAAGGGTAAGCACATATTAGTAACCTTGGATCTCTCTCAGGATATGAATGGAGGAGCTAGGGATCATGATGTGGAGAATTTTCATTTGAATTTGATCCATGTGAATTTCCTAATTAAAAAAATAAATTAAAACTAAAACTAAAAGATTCATATTCTTCATCATTATAAAGAAGCCCCTGTTCTCAGAACAAGCAGTTGCCTATGGTCAGGCTCATCATTGTTATATAGCCCTGTCCTGAAGCTTACAGTTTTCCTTTTCTTTCTTTTTTTATCTTTATGGCCTCCCACTATAGATCTCCACCCATCTAACCACAAGACTTCCTTCTCATCAAGACAATTGTATCCAGCAGCAGCAACACTGCTATGAAGTCAGGAACTCCAATTTGTACTTAAGATCTGAGAAATGAAAGTGAATCTTTATAACAAGAGAATTATGGGATGTTAAGTCCAAAACATGCTCACATCTGCACAAATAGAAGCAAGTCTATGTATGGTTTATCTAAAAATGTATATTTATCTTGAAAATAGTTCTATCTCCACTTTCAACAACTGGAGGGTACTTGATATACTGGGTAAGAAAACAAAACAACCTTCTAAAAATTAGACTCAGGAGAAATTAAAAAACTGCCAAATTTCCCAAGGGTCTTTTTGAACCTCTTTTTCTTCCTTTGCCTTAGAAACTCTCTTTGTAACTCATTCCACGCAGGTGAAAGATTTTATGCCTAATAAAAAGCAGCTAGAAGACCTATATTTAAAGATAAGAAGACCTACATTTAGTCATAGCTCTAGTATTTAGGTTTCCAAAGTCAAGTTACTTGAGAGGTAAATTTGAGCCTAATTACCAGTAACTAGAATACTATACCTTGATTAAGTTTGCATATATTCCCCTAGGAATTAATGGCAGTGAAGTAGAGAGTACAGGGGAATATCCTGGCAAACGTATGTGCATAGCAATCCTATTTGTAATGGAAAAAAGTGGGAAAGAATTCAAGTGCCCAACGACATGGGAGCAAATAAACCATGCAAGTCAAACAGGGCAACTTTACATAGTAATTCAAAAATAAAGGATAATATACTAAGAGAAAAAAATCACATCACAGTAAACACACTGATGGTAAGTTTAAAATTTATTTTATATTCATTCATCACAGATGAAAATTTGAAGCAATGATAAGAATTTCATAATTATTAGGTATACTGTTCTATCTTTTGTAAAGTAGTATCTCTACATCTGACACAAAGATGAATAATCTTAGCTGAATTCTTCATTAACCTAGCCTACAGTTTCCTCATTTAATGAGAAAGTTGAATTACAGTTCTCCAAATTAGTCTGCTTAAGCTCTAAAAATTCTGTGTATTTTTCTATTAAGCCCCATGAATTTTTAAAAAACAAACATGATTAGTTTTACAAACAGCACAATCTTGAATTGGACTGCTGGTCTAAACATGAGCCTGTTGCTTTAGTTTTTTAAAGTTTATAAAGAAAATTAACCTGTAATAATGTGATTGCAATCTGTTTTAGATAACAAATATATGAGGCATCTAAATTGAACCCCAGTGTATGCAATTTTTAAAAAGAACTCAATTACTATTAGAAAACAATGGTTAATGTTTGCTAATATATCTATACTTTCAAGCTGTTTTTCAAGTCTTTCCCTCTCAAAAATTAAGAGAAAAAAAAATCAAACAATTACATGAACCATTATACCAATAACAACAATTAAAAATATCAATAGCTTTTAGAGAAAGACTGCCACTCATCTCTACTTCATTTTGAAATCACACTCGATTCCAAATAATGTTTATTTGAGGAGAGAAGAGTTAGCTACTGGCCTAATACTTGACTTGGGGTCCTTTAATTAGCAGAAAGAATTGGTAAAGTGATTCTTTTTCTTTTTCCTTTCTCTTTTTGGTACTGAGGATTGAACCCAGGCATTCCAAGCCTCTTTTTCTTTTAATTTTGAGAAAGGGTCTCCCTAAGTTGCTTAGGGCCTCACTAAATTGCTAAGACTGGCCTTGGACGTGTGATCCTCCTGCCTCAGCTTCTCGTGTCACTGAGATTATAGGTGTATGCCATTATGCCTGGCCAGTAAAGTGATCAAAAAAAATTTTTTTTAAACAAAGGGTTTGAAAATCTCTAGTAAATATTTGGGCATATTTGTCTCCTTTTTAAAAATGGTCATTTAAACAGAAAAATCTATTTCAGTATTAGAAATTTTGGACTCACCTGAGAATTGGTTAGGAATGCAAATTCTTACATGACCCCTGTATTCACACCTTAACCCATGATGTATCAGACTACTCACCTGGCCAGGTGCCCATTTAAACTTATAAGGAATTCAGGAAGGCCCTGAATGTGGGTAAGTATTAAAACAAATAAGGGCTAGGGGTGTAACTCAGAGGCCACTGGGTTTAACTGGTACCACCCCCTACCCAAAGATATACCATAGATTGCCAGGAAGTCTATGGAATAAAAATTTAACATATGAATCTAACAAATTACTTGCTTTCCCCACTATTCCTAAGTAGACAGTGGAGTATTCAAACAACCAGTCATGTTTTTGAATGGATTACAGATGCACCTAGCTAGATGTCCTTAGAGAGATCTGTGTTAGTTTGGGCTTTCTACTGTAGATATCTGTAATGTACCTTAAATCACTGGGGTCAAACTAATACATTTATGAACTGAAATAAAGATGAATATACAAAAAATAACAATAATCACAGATATTTATGGTATGTCAAGTAGTATGTCAAATGCTTTACTTGGACTATCCCCTCCCCATTTAATCCTAATAATATCTCCTATATAGACATTGCTATTCCAATTCATAAAGAAATCCAAGGTCAGAGAGGATAAAAAAATTCCCTAAGGTCACCTTGCTAGAAGAAGCAGAGTCACGACTTAGATCAAGTCTGTCAAATTCTGAAAGTTGTGCTCTTAACCATTATATTAACACCATCTTCCTAACACAAAGTCATGATCATCCCCCAAAATATCTCTGAAAATGATGTTTTTCTTTTTTTCTTTCCTCTCAATTATGAAACATAAAGATGAAAATTAAAACTTCAGTATGACTTCTAGTCAGTATAAGTAAATTGTAAAAAATAACACTGATTATATTTAACATTCCTTAAATAGATCAGATGTACAGAATTAACTAAATCTTATTTTCATATTGTATGAAATATAAACTATGCTAGGTTATATGATGAAATTATGATGAACAACAGTAATATAAAATACTCTGTAAGAATAGACGTGTGAGACAGAAAGAAAACAAAGAAGCGGCACCAATGGGTCTCTTACAGCTGTGCTTTAAGCAATATTTCAAATCAATGCTGGCAAATCCATAGTTCCCAGTGATGTGTGACAGCTTTTGAGGCCCCACGGAAGCTTAATCAAACTCATCATAATGATGAGCACGAGACAACAAACACCTTTGATGCATGATTTAATTTCCTGAACTGCATGAGTATCTGTGATAACAGTGGAAGTGGAGGAGTTACTCTCTGACCATGAATGAAAAATGGTTTCAACCTGCTGTTAATCCCGCCACAAGTTCAGGTCAATAATGATAAAAAAAAAGTGTATAGTTTTGAGAAATTTATATCAATTTGATCTTGTCTAAGTGACCTCCTAACAGGTGTGTGAATCATTAATTTTTTTTGGAGAAACATTTTTTTTTCCTTTTTGCATTCCTAAGTTGCCAATTCAGGGGTAACTGCTCCATGCCAGTGGCAGTAAAAGGGGTGTAGTGATCTGTTTAACAAAGCCAGATGAAGCAAC